GAGAGTTTAAGTAACTTGTCCAAATCATATTCATTATTAAGTAATAAAACGGAGACTAGTACCATTGGCAATGCCTAAAGGCACTCCAAACAACAATATCCTTTGCTATAAACAATTGATATTTTCTTAATCTTATATGCAATGTGAGTAAAAGCATCTTTTGAAAATGTTCTTATTTATTGATCTCTAACATGCAACCTAAGTAAAAACATTAGCTTAATATGCAAATACAACTCCAAGACAAAAGTCTCTTGTGTAGAAATCCTAGAGCTACTAATGATTTGAATCCAAAGTGTTCTTACTACAAAAGGAGCATATGCATAAGACAACAACTTTGCCTTGGGAGTACTGGAAGAAAAAAGCTTCAAATATATTTGAGTTGGGTCCAGAAAGATGAAATAAAAAGCAAAGTTACACACACACATATAAGACTTCTCTCCACAACTGCTTTAATGGTTACAATACACATCCACCTTCCTAATACCTACGTTCATATAGGGCATTAACACTGTAACAACTCAAAATTAATTTCTCTAAAGCAAATAATAATTGTTAAACCTGACACAAGATTCCCATTTTGTAGATAAGGAAACTGAAACTCAGGAAGTTTAAGTAACTTGATTGGACCATAAGAAGGTTAAGTGGCAAAGCCACAAAGCCATGAAATTAGTCATGCAGTGAGTTAGTACTGCATCAGTCCTTAAAACCAATTTTTAGCCACTCATATTTAAGCATCAAGTCAATTTCACAAAGCTTTAAATTTGAAATATGCTACTAAAAATAAAGCATTCCAGGTGTAAATATCTAGGACACTATAACTCTGGGAAGTAGGCTGTGATCCCCAGGCTGTGTCAGAGACCATTTGGAAATGAAGTACACTTTCATGTCAAACAATGTAGATACATTAATAGCCATATATATATGCTAACGTTCAAGGAACCAAAGAAATGCTCTATTTCTATCTTAAAGAAGTCAGCAATTTATCTTCAAGGACCAAGATGCAGCAGGAAACTGGACAAATAGGCAAAGGAAAGAATGCAAATGAATTTTCTCATTATCTAAGAAGCATCAAGAGTCTATCGAGCAAAGATTAAGGACTCTTTAGGAATATAAGAGATTAATCGTTTACCCACCAAACAGATCTCTCCTTCCAGTCCAGACAGGGTCCTGGGGAGGCTTCAGGCTCCTAACACTGACTACTTCCTGCCACTGACAACCCTGGGCATTTAACATATCAACCCTAAAAATTACAGGATGTATTAATAATGATTCTGCAAGATTTTTGATGTCTGATAAATTATTCCAAATATGCTCCTTTTAATTGTATGACCCCAGGAAATATTTAAAGAACTTCTTTTAATTTATTCATATTGTTGAGATATATATATAGCAAAATAGACCAATTCAATCATTTCTACACGTACAACTCAGTGACATCGATTACATTCTTATTTGTGCAACCATTCTCACCCTCCTTTGCTGAGTTGTTCCCCCCCATTAACATAAACGCACTACCCCTAAGGTTCCTATCTAATCTTTGGAGTTGCTGTTCTCAATTTGATCCTATTTACATAGCTCTTAAAAGAGCACAATGCTCAAGGTAGACATTTTTCACTAGTTAAGCTAAGGTACTGTTTGGTTTTAAGAAGACTTCAGGAGATATTTTTGGCTTGAAGTTTAAAAATTATCCCAGGGCAATATTTTCAGGGGTTCATCCAGCATTCACAGCTCCAGAAAGTCTACAGTCCATGAGAATTTTAAATTCTGTTCTACGTTTCCCCCCTTTTGATCAGAATTCTTCTACAGAATCTTTGATCAAAATGGTCAGTAATGGTAGCAGGGCACCATCTAGCTCTTCTGGTCTCAGGGCAAAGGAGGCAGTTGTTCATGGAGGCAATTAACAATACATTCCATATCCTCCTTCTATTCCTGACTTGCCTTCTTCCTCTGTTGCTCCAGGCAAATTTGAAGAACTTTTAAGAGCCCTCTTTCTTTCGAACTGGAGCCCTGGTGGTGCAGTGGTTTAAATGTTTGGCTTTAACCAAAAAGTTGGCAGTTCAAATCCACCAGCTGCTCCTTGGAAACCCTATGGGGCAGTTCTATTCTGTCTTATAGGGTCGCTATGAGTCAGAATTGACTAGACGGCAACAGGTTTGGTTTTTCAGTTTGTTTTCTTTTGAACCTAGATGGTTTTGAAAACTATGGAAGCATTAAATATATACATTTCTAATTTATTTTCAGTTATTTAAAAACTGAAGGATGATTTAACAATTATCTTCTATTTATATTACTTTGGTAACTTATAAAAATGTTTGACAGATCATTTTCAAGGTCAGCTTTAAGTCATCATTCTTTCACAACTTTGTTCAAATAATATTCTGTGGTAACAAAAGAAACCTCAGATATCTGAACCATATTTTAATACATATTACAAAAAAGGGGCCAACCTTTAATCGATACTTCTACTCCAGACAATGCTCTACTACAATGAGACCCTAAACTGTGGTATGTGTCCACTTTCCCAATAGGAATCATCATAGCACAGGCTTCAGGGTAATGTAATCCTTTTCATAACGGTGTTTAATGAAAGTGAATACCACTTTCCAAAGGTGCATATTTGAACAAACAGTGGAGTGAAGGAAAATGATCCTATTTACAATTCTAGTCAAGATGCAAAACTAGCACCTGCCTGACCACTAGAATATGACACCCTAAAAGACTTGACTACAAAAGCCTTTAGAGAAATAATTCTAGGTGACCTCTCCTTCAATTTTAATATGATGCTATGAATTTCATGAAATACATAGAATACACTATCTTCTAATATTATAAGATAATAAACTGGTCACTATGACATTCTTTGGCCACTACTGTTTTCTTCTAATTTAAAATATGAAGGAACTAAAAAAATTAGAGAAATAATAAATATAAAATTTTAAATATTCTCAAATGATCTCTCAATTAGCATGAATGATACAACTACAGACGATAAGAAAGTACAAACCAAAAATGTGATAACAGTTAACCATTAATACTACTTTTATTTGGCCTTGCAATATTTTAAAATATCCTATTTGATCACCCTGGACCCAGTTTCAAGAAATGGTGCTATCTAATAATTAAAAAATTTAACTGCATAAATATGAATTATTTTTAAGTGTTTTGTCTCTCTGTAGGATATGGAATTTATGTGTGAGGGTCTGGCTGATTACTAGTACAAAAATACATCCAGGCTTAGAATATTATATGATCTATAATATAAAATTTAATGTTGTTCTTTCTACAGTTCTTGGAAGTCAAAGAATTTAACACCTGGAAGTGGGAAGAAAGATAAATGATGAGGAAGGAGATAGAAAATAATACAAAAAAGAATGCCACATATCCAACACACCATATATACACTGACTATATACATTAGGACAAATCAGCTTCCCATCACTATGCCAATTATCAGTCTCATTACTCCTACGGTTATATACTGCTATGAAAAGAATCCTCACAACTGGACCAGTAAGCAACATCATGATAAACAGAGAAAATACTGAAGTTGTCAAGGATTTCACTTTCCTTGGATCCACAATCAATGCACATGGAAGCAGCAGTCAAGAAATCAAATGACATATTGCACTGAGCAAATTTGCTGCAAAAGACCTCCTTCAAGTGTTGAAAAGCAAAGACATCACTTTGAGGACTAAGGTGTACCTGACCCAAGCCATGCTATTTTCAGTCTCTTCAAATACATGCGAAAACTGGACAACAAATAAAGGAGACTGAAGAAGAATGGGCTCCTTTGAATTATAGTGTTGGCGAAGAATACTGAATATACCATGGACTGACAGAAGAATGAACGTATCTGTCTTGGAAGAAGTACAGCCAGAACGCTGTACAGCAAGGATGGAGAGACTTCATCTCACGTACTTTGGACATGTTATCAGGAGGGACCAGTCCCTGGAGAAGGACACCATGCTTGCTAAAGTAGAGGGTCAGAGAAAAAGAGGAAGACCCTCAAGGAGATAGACTGACACAGTGGCTGTGACAATGGGCTCAAGCGTAACAACGACTGTGAGAATAGCACAGGACCTGGCAGTGTTTTGTTCTGTTGTACATAGGGTTGCTATGAGTCAGAACCGACTCGATGTCACCTAACAACAACATACACTGCTATATAGATCTTGAGCGCAGTGGCAGTTCAGTGGTAGAATTCTCACCTTCCAGGAGGGAGACCTGGGTTTGATTCCTAGACAACGCTCCTCAAGCATAGCCACTACTTGTCTGTCAGTGGAGGTTTGCATGTTGCTTTGATGTTCAACAGGTTTCAGTGGACCTTCCAGCATATGATGAACTAGAAAGAAAGGCCTGGTGATCTACTTCCAAAAATCAGTCAATAAAAACCCTGGTCACAACAGTCAGATCTTGTTGTGCATAGGACTACCATGAGTCAGGGCTGACTCAGGGGCAGCTAACAACAACATATAGACCTTAATTCTAGATGTCAGGAAACCAGAGAGTAAGACATATCCCAAACTTCCAGTAAATCTAAATTTGCACCAGCAGCGTCCACTCCAAGCACCATCATTCATGGTAACCATCAGGAACAGGAACAGGTAGTAACAGACAGAAAGTTTCAGGAAAAGCGAGAAAAGATGCGATACAGAGCCTCTGACTCCATGGAGCTCCACCATCAACTCCTCAAAGTGCACAACCTTGCACAACCTACAGCTGTACTAGCAACGACATACAGATGCTCCACACTTATAACTCATTCTCAGACAGCTATATCATGATGGTTTCCGTGAAGCTATAAATCTATAAATCCAGGACACATAATCAGAATGGTTAATCATAGATGTAAACACTTAGGCCAAACTAATAAGGTGTTGATAAGGAATTTAACAAATCTGGGAAGCATTTATCGATTATTTATACTGACTTTAAAACCATTTCTTGACCACAGATAAAAGATCAAAGCATATCAAATACCAAAAAGGCATAGAACGTACCTCCATTTGACCTATTTGATTGCTGATCTGGAGTTTGGGCTTGAGGTGAGTAATACTGTTGCTGCTGGTAGTTATTGGAAGGATAATACTGAGAACTGGGGCTCCTCCTACACTCCCGAATGCTAGAGAAAGTCTGTGAGTGGGGAATTCCTCTTTGGAAAGGCGAGCATCTTGGAAGTCGAGGTTGAGGTGGTGGTAAATGATCAAATTCTTCCTCATCCTCCAGACTGTATCGATCATATTCTTGATCACTACATGTCCCCTTTTTTCCTGAACTCAATGACACACTGGAACTATGTCTTGACACAGATGCTGAAGTAGAAGCATAATCTTGCCTGAGACCTACAAAAAAATAAAAAATAGTATTCTCTTGTGAGATACTTCTATCTAGCTAAAATTAAATTCTTAATAATCAAGTATTTGGGGAAAATTTGTACCAAACAAATGATTCCAATAGGGACCCATCATCTCAGTTCTCAGCTTATTAAACTCCAAGAAAATAAACATATCTAGCTACCAAACAAATGTCTAATATTAGGCAATTCTGTTTTGCAAACAAATTGTCCCAATTCCATTTTAGATTAGATGCACTTGCTATAGCTCATATATCAAAAAATATCAATTTCCCCAAATAATCCCCTCTCAAATCTGGACAACTACTTAGGAAGACTACTCATCCTCATCATAAATAGCTTGCTATTTATAATTGACGACGGTACGGGACCAGGCAGTGTTTTGTTCTATTGTACATAGGGTCTCTATGAGTCGGAGTTGACTCAACAGCACCTAATAACGTGAGTTAGAACAATTAAAATAATCAAATCTCTGCCCAAGTAGGAATCCTTTCTGCTTCCCACCCCCACTCCAACTTACAATGTCAAAGGAAAATTCAAAATCTGGGATACAAGTATTTTATAACAAGGTCACCTCTTTTTTGTTCATTTGTGTTACTAACATTATCTCTTTCAAAGCATGCTGATACTTCAGTCTTCAATGATTTAGGTCATCCTAAATGGAAACTGTTTGAAAATAGTCAAAACTGGCAACTTCTAGTTATTCATCTCATTGCCAATATCACTTTTTTTTTTTTTAAAGTAGTCTATCCCTGACTTTTTTCTTTTTATCCCTGACTACTTAATTTCTGGGACTGACATCCAATATTTCCAGCCATATATTTTCAGAAAAGAAGATTTAAATTTACTGTTAGTAATAATATCAAATAGACACTTTTCCCTCAGAACGTGTCTTATAAAATCTTACATAAAGCTTACAATGTTTCTCAGAGTGGCCTTAACTAATTCTGAGAGCAGGAAACTATTATGCTTAACTGATACTTGGCTGTTTCTTCTAATGCTGGTCTGAAGATAACTCCAAAACAAGCACAGCCCAGTTCTGTGTTCCACGTCTTATTGTGTGTGCCTTCTGATACAAGTGATGCCCTTGTAGTAGTTCACTCCCAGATTATTTGTTGTAACTTTATCAAAGAACCAGTGATTAACTATGACATTCTGATTATCTGCTCTTCCACATTTACCTGGAGAAGTATAGCAATCTATTTTTTAATTGACACTTTTATTAAGATAACTTTTGACTCACATACAGTTGTAACAAATAATACAGAGATCCCTTGTGCACTTTACCCAGTTCCCCCCAGTGGAAACATTTTGCAAAAATACAGAAAATCACAGCCAGGATACTGATATCAATATATTCCACCCATCTTATTCAGCTTTTCTTACTCTTACTTCAGTTTTACTCATGTGTGCCTGTGTATGTGCACTAAGTTCTATACAACTTATCATGTGTAGGTTCACATATCCCCCACCACTGCACAGTTGTAACACCAAAAAAATCCCTTGTGTTGTTGCCCTTTTGTACCCTCATCTACCTCCCTCCTAGCCCCACTAATTTCCCTTCCTTTTCTAAAATTTTATCAATTCAAAAATGTTATACAAATAGAATTATACAGCATTCAACCTCTGGCGTCGTCTTTTTTTCACACGGTATAATTTTGTGGAGATTCACCCAAGATGTTTCCTTTATCAATATCCCGTTCTTTTTATTGCTGAGTAGTACTCCATGGTATGGATGCACCACACTTTGTTTAACCATTCGCCTATTAAGGGCATCAGGGCTCATTCCAGTTTTTGGCTATTACAAGTAATAAGCTGCTATAAACATTTGTGTACAGGTTTCTGTGTGAAGATAAATTTCTCTTGTTCTGGGATAAATTCCCAAGACAGCAATTTGCTAGGTAGCTATACATCCATGTGCCTGGAACAGAGTAAATCTTAATACTTTACAATGCTCCTGAGAGTGGGAGAAGCAGATGACTGCTCCATCTACAAAGGAGGACAGTATAAGACCAAGAATCTGATTGTTTGCCCATTTTATTTCAAGTGAAGTCTCACTTTTCTAGTTTAAAAAGAGCATACTTTCTTCTTGCAGTCGAGCCATGATCTGAACATCAGTGAGGTCTTGTAGCTTATATCCCATGGAAATGGAATCATCCTCCAGTTCTGAAGTACTCAACTCACTGTCTATAGAGGACTGCGGACTGAGAGGAGAGCCTCTGGAGGTGTAACCTAAAACAAAGGAAATATGTTTAGTACTTAGGCTAAAAAACTAAAGAACTGATAGAATCAGACACACTTCACATATAAACACTCAGTACTTTTTTTTCCCATTTTCATAATGTCAGAAAAATGATCACCACATCACCATTTAAAGGTCAAACAATAAGCACATTTTTACATGTTTATAATTCATATGTACAAAAGCTTTCATTTTTCAATTTTTTTTCAAATTCAATTTTCATAATTTACTAACTTGTGAATGCTAAAACATGTATCATATTAGAAAAGTATATATCTAAATGGGTGGCATAAGAATATACATCCATGTACTCTTTCAATTAATAATCAGACACACTTGCCTTTGGCAGTAATCGACTACATATTTTAAAATTAAAATCTAATCTAGTCCATTCATTAACAGTAATAGGTACAAACAGTAGTGCTATAAATAGATAAGAATCCCACCCATAAAAGGCACACATTCATATGCAGAAACACATAATAAAACCTTGATAATTTAGAGTAGTAAATGGTCATGGGAGACTTGTAGGCAACCATTAACATGAAAAAGCAATGGTTTGAAATAAGAGAACCAAGGAAAAAAGGTCCCAAATGGTAGAAAGTTATAGGAATGGAATTACCCAACACTGAGACAAGTAATGGTGAGACCCTCATCTCATAAAAAGCCAGTATGACTATTCTTTTACGTAGCCCTGGCTTTATAAAAAGCTACAACAAAAATAATTTTAAAAAACACACAAAAAAGGCTTACAGACAATCTTGAATCATAATAAAAACTAATTAAATTGTGTGTTGACATTTAATTTTAAAGGCACATTAGGCATTTGGAAACACGTAATTACATACACATTCTTTTGCTAAAAAGGGAAGACCACCTACTACTCACACTTGAAAGCAGTAGATCAGTGGTGTTCCCGAGTACAAATTAAGGCTTGTCCCTTTTGTACTCAGAGTGTAGAGCATAAACTCTCCATTATTAATAAGATTACACTCAAGCTTTTCGATGAAAGATTAATCTTCAGGCTATGTTTAGTGACAAGAATTACAAAGCAAGCAGCATTCAGAAGTGGAAATATTACCTGTTCTTTCAGGTGTTAGTATTGCTTTATTTGAGGTTTTAGAGAAGCTGGGAGTATTAATGCCATTGTTATAAGGGCTGAGTCTTGCAACAGGACTATAAGGAAAAGCCAGTGAGACAGCTGAAGAGAAGAGATTCTGCCATCGGCTAGCTGTCACAGAAGCAGAAAACAGCAGCAGTTAGCTATACAGAAGCAGATGTTGATTTGTCAGGGGGAGAAAGGGAGGATTAAAAAAAAAAAAATGAAAAGACAAAGCAACTTTTCACAAGACTATGTTAACCAACATCCCATTATCTACAGAAAAAAAATATGTAAAAACAATTTGTGAACTAGAGTGCTATTTATAATTCCATTAAGAAAAAATAAATCTCACCTTAATTAAGCCAATATGCCTATAAGAAAATGAAATTTTATTTTGAATTTTTACATTAGAAATGTTTGTTGTTTTCTATTTCAGAACAAAGATTTAAGTGTTCTGCAATAATCTAAAAGGTTAGTTTGCAAAAGAAATTCCGACACTTGTAATCTTTAGAAATTGTGGGAAATGTTCTTAATATTAACTATTCACAGTCCTCTATTTTTTTCTAAAGTTTATTTTCCATCCGTTTAATATCAGAAAATGTTGATCAAAAAACTTTTTATAAATATAAAAAGGATGCTTTGAAATGCTTTCCCCACATCACCTTTAATGAACAATACTAATAAGCAGTCAAACAGCTAAAAAGTAGGCAGTGGGATGGAGAAAAAGAGCAACTATGAGATATGAATAGTCGAGAAAATAATCAGCTCAAAACTGGGATTCTTAAGATCCTTGCAAAATACTATCAAGTTTATTTAAAAGGGTAAAACGTTTGCTTTTGCTTACAGTTCACATATAAACACTCAGTACTTTTTTTCCTATTTTCATAACGTCAGAAAAATGACCACCACAGCACCATTTAAAGGTTAAATAAGCACATTTTTACATGTTTATAATTCATATATAATATGAAGGATTCTTGATATAAGTACCATCACATTCTGCCAATTATGTAATTTTAAAAAAAGTCTTTTCCTTATATAGGTGAAAGAATGATCATGCTTTCGGAATCCATAAGTTTCATGAAGGGGGACATTGCTGTGAAGCCCAGTTTCTACTTGATACTAGTCACTGCACTCACTTATCCAGTATGCAATTTACTGTTAAGCAGCTCTTCCCAATCTGAGCCAGGGCAAAGATATGCAGAGGCAGCACATAGAGGAGTTCCTTCGCTTCTAGACATGTAAACTGAAACCCAAAATACACTGAAAAACAGGTTAATATGCAGTATACACTAGGTAGCTGTCCTCACATCTTAAATTTCTATTGTTCAAATTGTTTCATTAAAAATTCTATAATAAAAACAAAACTATCAATAGTTCTTTGTGACCATTAACTTGCCTAACAGATGATGTTATTTTATAGCAGTCTGATCACTTGCCAGGCAAATTACAGTGACTGCGTGTTCTCAGCCACAGATGCAGGCGACGACGAATCACAAGTAAACAGCATTCATTATTCTGCACAATAACCACTGTGAATGGGCCACTCAGGCACAATGGCACAGTTACTGTGGCTATGACAGCAAGATCCAACTAAGAACACAATTAGCATCTATTGCAAGAAAGAATGCTCTACATTGTCCTTTAGTGTTGAGACTTTAAAAAAGGAGAAGAATTATTGTAGAGGCAAGCTAACAAAACAGTGATGCTGTATTAGTGCCCAAGCTTGTAGTGAAGGAAGGGAGCCTGGTGGCTGAGGACAGAAGAAGCAGCGGAAGCCTTCATATCCTGGCTATTCTTCACTAAGTAGCTAAAGAATATCAAGAACTTTGATATTTAACAGGAAACATTTTTACAAAGAATTAAAAAATTGAGAAGAACCTTCTTAAAGGGCAATTTTACCATCTTTACTCAGGCTGATGATTTCTTTATAATTTATTTATGTCGTTTTTGTTGAGAATATACACAGCAGAATATATACCAATATGACAATTTCTACATATATGACTTAGTGACACTGATTACATTCCTCAAGCTGTGCAGCCGTTCTCATTCTCTTTTGAGTTGTTCCTCCCTCACTAACATAAACTCACTGCCCCCTAAGGTTCCTATCTAATCTTTTGAGTTGGTGTTGTCAATCTGATTCCTTATAATAGTTCTTAAAAGAGCACAATGCTCAAGGAGGACATTCTTTACTAGTTAGGCTAAACTATTGTTTGGTTTTAAGAAGACTTCAGGGGATATTTTTGGTTTAGGGTTTAAAGATTATCTCAGCACAATAGTTTCAGGGGTTCATCCAGCCTCCATGGCTCTAGAAAGTCTAGTTCCATGAGAATTTTAATTATGTTCTGTATTTTCCCCCTTTTGATCAGGATTCTTCTACAGAATCTTTGATCAAAATGTTCAGTAATGGTAGCAAGGTACCATCTAGTTCTTCTGGTCTCATGGCAAAGGAGGCAGTTGTTCAGGGAGGCAATTAGCCACACACTCCATTTCCTCCACCTATTCCTGACTCTCCTTCTTCCTCTGCTACTGTAGGCAAATAGAGATCAACTGCTGTCCCTTAGATGGCTGCCTGAAAGCTTTTAAGACCCCACGCACTATGCAATGAACCAGAACAGAAGCACTGAACATGATATAAGGCCGACTAACTGGGATGTCCCATGAAACCATGACCCTAAACCTCCAAACCGAGGAACCACATGCTATGAGGTGTTTGGTTGCACATAAGCAGCCTCAGCAGCTAGTTTTTGTTCTTCTTTCCCCCACATCAGGATGTTAAATTGTTTGAAAGGCTCAGTGATGATCAGCATGACCCTTGGAGAGGAGAAAGACAATTTTACCAAAGGAGAAAATAGCTGACAGAGGAACTTCTAAACAACAACAGTTAAATGTTTCTGTACTCCTACTCCAAAGTTCTATCTATACGAAAAAACCCACAAAGCCAAACCAGCTGCCATCAAGTCAATTCCCACTCATGGCGGCCCCATGTGTGTCAGAGGAGAACTGTGCTCATTAGGGTCCTCAGTGGCCAATTTTTCAGAAGTAGATCATCAGGCCATGCCTCTCAAAGATGAAGGTAGCATGGACTGTGTATTTTTTCTTTAAACTCCAACCCCTGGAATAGCATAGTGTTGGGCCCAAATATGATGACACGTAGATTAAATGAATTATATTTGGAAAGGTTTTCTTTCAGAAACATCCTAAGCGACACTGCCTCAGAGAACATTTCTTCCTCATGCTCTCTATAGTTCTACTTGTTGTTGTTAAGTACCGTGGAGTTGATTTTCATCTCATAATGACCCCACATAACAGAGAACTGCCCCATAGAGTTTTCTAGGCTGTGATCTTTTACAGAAGCAGATTCCCAGGTCTTTCTCCCATGGTGTTGCTTGGGTGGGTTTGAACCACCAATGTTTCAAGAGAAGCCGGGCGCTTAATCACTGCATCACCAAGGCTCCTATATGCAGTCCTACTGCAACTTCCTTCATCAAGACACTCATCACCTCTCACCCAGATTATCAAAACCTGTCCTTCAACAAGTGTCCAGCCACTGACACTATCCTCACCAAGTCTGTTTTGAACATCATCATTGAAGCTGTACTAGTCGTGTATTATTTCAACTGCATCATTCTCTTCCATCAAAGTACTGCAGTGGCTTTTCATCAAATACGAGATCTTAAAGGTACTCCAGATCATCTCACTACACCCTCTACTTATCCACTGTCATGTTATCTCAAGCCCACCATGAGTATTTCTGAAACTATCTTAAGAATGTACTATTATTGGTTAAACAACATCGCCATGAGTCAGAGCTGACTTAAGGACAGCATTATTGGTTAAAATTCCTACTTTGCCCATCTTGTCTAATAACCGTTTACTACTGAAATAAATGTGATGAAGTATTAAGTTATTAACTGATACGTCATCTTAATGCAAAAAAAGTTTGAGACTGGCTAATGGTCTATCATTTTACTTTTTGTACGTCTTCCAAGTTGTCTGTCTTAAAGAAAAATTACAAGATATCTGTGTAGTTATTTTTATACATTAAGCAAAACATGACCCCCCAAAAAAATGCTCCAGTGATAATACCAAGCAGCAAATCACAAAGGACAAATGACAGGGTATGTTTAAGAAAGAATTTAAATTTCTTTTAATTCCCCACATTAAAAATGATACCTCTCCACTCCTCAAAATTATTCTTTTTACAACAAAAATATCTCTAGAAACAATGACATTCCTACCATGCTTTGATCATCTTTGCCTACTAAGTACCTAGACCCATAGTTTAAAGACTCAAATTTTTGTTGAATATGTCCCTGCATATAATTAAATCAAATTTTAGAAAGTGCCATTATTTTAGTTCACATAAAAGGGAAAATAATAACTGATCTAGTTAAAACACTAATTGACTGGATGAAAATCTTAATGATAATCCTCAGGATGTTAGTACTGAATCACACTAAAAGGGTTCAAAAATAAAGCAACACTATAAGAGATTCTGGAAATGTAATTATTTTCCCCACTTTATCTCACTATAGAGCTAGTCATCTCCATACCTAATACAACATCCGGCACACATTATGCACTCAATAAATCTGGAATGTGCTCAAAATTTTAGCAAGTTGGCTCACATTTCCTTACCTCATCCTACCACTCCTAACTGGCCATCTAAATTATTATACTCTTCCCCCAATTTCTTATGCTTAAAACAACTACAGTGCAATATAACACCTTTGAAAACAAATGTTAGTCTAATTAGACATTTCATTCTGGCAAGAGGCTCAGTGAGGAAATACAGCTGTAGGAGTATTTCATTAATACTTCCTAGTAACGTCTAAGTTGTTGAACTGATGTGTGTCAATCTTTTGATTTTCAGCTAAATGATTTTATAATACTAATGGTTAAGACCTGTGATTGGGATAATTAACACATAAAAATTAGTTAAACTATAAAAACAGGCGGCGCCATCTAGCATGAGCTAGTTCCTACAATGCTGTGTTACACAGTTAAAATGAAAAGATTGTGCCAAGTACACTAACTGGCAGTAAACCATGCAAGAAGGCAGCAAAGCCTTCCCAAATTCTTTTCTTTTCTATTGTGCTTTAGATGAAAGTTTACAGCTCCAG